TGTTAGGGTAAGATTTCATTCAAAGACTATACCTTTGGCAGGAATATTGAATAAAAGACCTGGAAAAATATCCCGTAGTTAATCATCTAAATAATGCTTTCCTTATAACGCGCTCCTAACTGCTACTGTGGTAATGTTCTTTCGTAGTTATTATTGTTACACGGTTATGTCACATGTTCTGTTTAAAGCTATATAATTAGCAAATGCTTTAAAATAAAACCACTGAAATGTTCCTCTGGGTTATTCTTCCTTTTGCTCACTGTTTGCTCAAAGTCTTCTGTACTTTAGCCTATTGTACTAATATTGATTCTTTCACCCACCTGCCAGCTTTCTTATTCTCTGGCATCTCAAAATTACCATAATCGGTTGTCATTCTCTCCACATGGGAGCTGTCTAAATCCCTAGGCTGCCACTGTGGGCATCTATCGGGTAAGGATTTTTCAATAGCACCCTTTTCCCACCAGATTCTTCACCGTATCCATTGTGCATTTTGAAAAGCCCCATTTACCTTACTGCCTGGATACCAATTACTGCAGATCCTGTTTCTTGTTGTCAAGGTCTCACAACTCTAGCTGTTTAAAATACAATGCTAGCTTCAACAATCTTCTCTTCTACTCTTCATGTTATTTGGGTTATGGTTATAATTACAGATGATATTTTGAGTTATTGATTGCAAGCAAACCTCAAAGGGTCCCTGACCATTCTTATGATTCCAATATTGAGTGGAAGCAATTTAGTTTCTAAAGGCTGGTGCTGACTTGCCCAAGAGGTTTTATTTTCCTCCCCTGGCATTTCATAGATTGCTTGACATCTACAACCCATTGGCTTTTGGTTGCTGAACTTGCATTTGTTTCATGATTCTACAGTGTGCATGCCCATTTAAAAAACTGCCATAATCTTTTTTTTCCCTAGAGAACAGAAGAAACATCATTCAGATTTGCAAATTATAAGGAAGAGTAAATTGAGTAAATTGGTGGATATACTAGATCACCCCAGTTTTATTAGTCTGGTTATTTTCTCGCTGTACTTGCCTTTGGAAACACAAACTTTTTCCAGTTATAGATTTACTTACGCTTTGGCTTCTTTAAATTATATGACACATTTATGCAAACCTCATTCAATGATAATTCCCATAAGTTAGTCTTAAATCAAAAGATGAGAAGAATAATTCCAAGGCCCAGACTTTTTTCTATCAAAATTTATGGAAGTAATCTCAATACACAGAAAGATTGAATGTGTGGTATTTTTCTTTTCATTAGTTCAATGCATCTCAAATCTTCCCTCCTACTGTCTGAAAACCTTGGGACTACAGTTTTTATTATACAAATCTCTTTGACATATATTTTATAGTTTATTTTGTTTTTGTACAAAATTTTAGTGTAATTTTAAACAAAAAAAATTTAAACATACAAAAGTCTATCTTCACTCAACTTCAACAATTATCAACTCAAGTGTCAAATTTGCTTCATCTATCCCCTTACCTATTCTCCCATACCCATTGGGTAATAGTAAACAAATCCCAGACATCATATCATTTCATCTGTATTTCAGTATATATCTGTGAAATTAATAAGACTTTTAGAAAGCATAGCCATACTGTACGAAAACTTATAAACTTTAACAATATTTTCTTAATAGTATCAATTAACTAATCAATATTGAAATCTCTTTAATTGTTTCATAATTTCTTACATTTGGTTTATTCAAATCATAATCTGAATATTATCTGCATATTGCATTTAATTAGTATGTTTCATAAATCTTTTTTAATCCATGATGCTCCTTACTTCTTTATTTTTCCTTGTAATTTGTTAAAGAACTTTAAAGTTCTTCAAGTACCAGTTTAGCTGATTGCATCCCCATACCATTGTTTGATATGTTTCTCCATTGGCTGAATTTCCTGTAACCTGATCCATAGGTTTAGAGATTCAATCATATTCAGTTTAATCTTTTGGCAAGAATAGTTCATGAAAAAGTTGTATTCTTTTCTCTGGATACTTGTTTCTCTGTGATGTTAAGATTGTTTAGTGTGTTCAATTATTGCCAGCCTGATCCATCCATTATAAAGTTTTGCATCAGCTGTTAATGTGAAAGTTTTAGTAGCCACTATGATTGTGAATGAGGACCCATTATTTCATTAGGTGTTTCAAATTGGCATATTCTGATACTATCATTTCTTTTTCATTTACATAGTTTCATTTAAAAATGTTTGTTTGGGTAAATTAAAGAGAAGGTAATTATTGAGTGCCTGTGATGTGCTAGCATTCTGCTAGACTCTATAAGGGAAAGATAAACTACATATATATCATGAACCTGCTCTAAACAGAAACCGAAACATTATGCTCAAAACAATTAGTGAGCGATTATGGGATGGTAAACGAATTAAGAAAAGAGAGATGAACATGGGTTAGAGAATGTTTCAGGAAAGACATGGGGCATGTGTTGGGCCAAGAAGCGTTTTGTGAACTAAGAGAAAACTGAGAGCATTCCAGGTAGGGGAATAGTTTGAATCGTGTTATGAAGCTAAGGACAACAATGGCCATATAAGGGAAGGCACAGGAAAAAAACTACCTGAGGATTACACATTAGCTAGGTTAAAGTGGGGTATTGGTTGGGAGTGAGAAAGCTAAATTATTCAGGTTCTGTTTGACATCACCTGTGAATATTCTGGTATTGTTCTAGATACATTTGGCAGATAGACTTTGGTTGGACTAGGGAATCACAGTGAAGTGGCCTATGGAAACTCAATAGTTTAGAAATCAATTTGTCATAAGTAAAACCTCATCTAAGCTTAAGAAATAATAAGATTGCCCAAATCTTGTGCAAAATGGAAAGAATGAGTCATGTTGCTAAGTATACATAGTAATAAAAAATTACAACCTACAGAGATACTTGTGGTTCCACGGAACAAACGAAGTTGTTTGAAAGAAGCGGCAGGTACACATGACTTGGTGTGAAGCTGTAGCAAAGTTAAAGATATTGAATTAATTTTGGAAATGTTGTGTTGGGGGTGCATATATAAATGGTAAAGGCCTTAAGCATTTGTTATGATGGGGTTACAGACAAAAAGATGAGGCTGATATTCTACATTTTAGAGTCAGATACACAGAAGTGATAGGTTAACTCATAGGAGAGGACGTGCGCATCAAATAACAAACAGAAGAGAAGCTGAGTTTAAAGAGAAAGAATAGCAGTAGAGTTGTGGGTGTGGAGTGGGAACAGGAAGCAGAAAGAAGAGAAAGGTAGTATCCATTAGTGGAGAAACAGGGGAGAACAATGTATGGCCAAGGAAAGAAGGTGTTTTATACATGAAGAGATGGTTAACAGGGTTAAGTTCCACCACAAGGTTAAGAAAAGGAGGACTGAGAACCATCCTTTGGGTTTTCAGAAGGGAGATCACTAGCCACTTGACAGGACACTTGATTTTGTTATAGCATTTTGTTACAAATGGGAAGTGGGTCACAAGAAGGAATGGTTTGGAAGCAGGAAGTCAGGATTGAAGGCATAGATGATCTTATTCTAGGAATGGGATTTCAAAGAAGAAGATAAATAAGATTGATGGCCAGGATAAGCAGCAGATATGTAAACCTAAGTGTATTTGAAAACCAAGAGTCTAGATTTTCTTGCTTATTTTGATAGAGAAAAAGATATTTTTAGAAAACAAACTTTAGATAATAAAAGTACAAAAAGAGCTTAACAAGTTACTTTAACTCATCATATTTTTAGCACATTTTATTTATTCAATTTTTATGTTATGTATTACCATAATGAGTCATGCTTATTTCAAATATGTAAAATATGAGTATTAGATTGAGAATGCTAATTTCTTCTTTTTCAAAAAGAAATCTACCCACCTTTCCATCTCCCTCTTCTCTGCTTCCTTAGCTATATCTGTACATGGAACATGTGTTGTGTTTTTATTTTGTTAGTTTCATTGGTTTCCTGCTCATGAAGATAATACATGTTTATTGTACAAATGTCACAGCACAGAAAGTCTTAAAGGATACGTTTTTTTTAATTCCATGAAATGATATTACTCAAAGATAACCAATATGTTATTTTTGTAAATCTCCTTCCAAATTTCTTTCTATGTGTAGATACATAGATGATATTTATATTAATGAGATCATACTGTAAATGTTTTTGCAACTAATAATATGTCGTGGACATTTTCTATTTCAATGAATATAGAAATGACGGTCATTGTATGTTGGTACCATAATTAATTTAAGCTGTTTCCTATTGTAGTCATTTAGACTCTTTCCAATTTTTCTTTTTGAGCAGCACTGCTGTGAATGTTCATGTGGGTACATTATTGTGGACTTGCCCAGTTGATTGTCTTCTTTGAATAAGTTCTGAAAGTGAGGTTGTGTGTCAAAGGCTATGCATATTTTATATTGTGATACATATTTACATATTGCTCAATGTCCTCTAGAAGTGCTGTACCAATTATACATCTACCAATAACATCTATCAATACCCAGTAAGTTCTTTTAAATGTCTTGAAAATTTATTTTTTTAAATCTTCATTTGGGCTCATTTTCCTCACTTATAAAATAAGAAGGATGAAATATATCAGTGGTTCTTAAACTTTTTAGGATCTTAGGACCACTTAAGAAGTTTAAAATTGTTGAACAGAAATATGAACTGCTGTTTCAGAAAAACACACCTGTGCAAAAACACAGACATTTTTACATACTATTTATGAGAATTCACACTGAAGTCAATTCACAGAGTCTTAAGGATTTCACTCCATGAATCTGAGTGAAGAGTCTCTGAATGAGATGATTTTAAAGTTGCTTTCTGCTTTTAACACTAAAGCACAGACACACATCTTGCACACATATCATAACACATATCACACACTCATATGTGCATAGAATTTTAATGTGTATTTAAAAAAATTTTGACATCTGCTTGGTATGGAACCTAGTCTTATTTTGATCTGGAAAGTCCTTTGAGTATGTATAGTTTTTGGAATGAATTTCTGTTTATTTCAGGTTCTTCAATGGCGAGCCCACCAGGAAGAGGTAGCAAGACTGGAAATGGAAATTTCTGCCAGAAGAAGGAAAAAGGAAGAGGAGAAAGAGAAACTGTGGAAGAAGAAGGAATTGTTACAAAGAGAAGAAAAGAAAAAAAAAGTATGAAATCCTCTGTTGCTGTGAGTGTGTGAATGAATGTTTAATTGCCTGATTGAGCTTTGGTTTATCTTAGTCTTTGGCATGGAATTCTAATTGGCAGTTCTTAGAAAGATTCATAAGGTTCTAGCAGGTCTTGCTTCAGTTCATAGGAGCTTCAAAGATTTGTGGACAAGGAGGGGAACCCACCTTATTGACCTGCACAAGCACAGATATTCATGATGAGAAGAGATGCTGTAGATGAAGGACAGGGTTTGTGACTGTTGTCAAGCCTTGTACTAAGTTGGGATATGGCAAAGGCCAAGTGTACTGGGATAGCATTTTGGTTGACTGCAATGCAGAAAATGACTGTCAATAGATGTCCATGAGAGAAAGGCATTTTGAAAGATGAGAGAGAGACCTTTATGAGCTTGTAAATGAACTGTTGATATTTGGTCTGACACCAAAACAACAACAACAAAACAAACAGTAATGGAAGGAATAATTAAATTCTAAACCAAATTCATGGTCAACATCTTGAATTATATGAGACTAAGGCATATGTTTTATTTTATTTTATTTTTAAAAACACTTTTTACATTTAGAATATATTTTTTAAATACAGAGAATGATGTAATAAGCACAATAATACTCATCACCTAGCACTGAAATTATTAATATTTCTCATTCTATTTCAGATTTTTATTCTACAAATAAAGTTGAAGTCCTCTTTTGAGGACATACTCAGTACCATTTCCCTTCTTACCTTTTCAAAGGCAGCCTTAATCATAAATTTTATTTTTATCTTCCCAGGCCATCTATTGCTTTTAACATATTTTAATATGTAGTTTGTGACTTTTATTTTTTTTCATGGATACGATCATCCAGTATCATTCTGTAGCATGTACTTCATTCAACCTTACATTTTTGAGATATACCCATGTTAACACACTCCTTTTAATTGCTATATAGTGTTCCATTATAGAATTGGGCTACCATTTATCCTTTCTCTTAGTGGTTGACATTTAAGTTTCTAAAATTTTGTTCTTGTAATTATGCTGCAGCAGCCACCTTATACATGTTGACTGGGGTATGTATGCACCTATGAGGGAAATTACTATGTTGTAGGATTCATATACTTTCAAGTTCATAATACTTTTAAAAAAGATATTACAACTTTCCTGTTTGACTTTTGTCAATCTAATAAATGTGAACAGTATCTCATTGTTTAAATTGGATTCCCCTGATCACTTGTGAGATTGAAAATCTCATGTTTATTGGGCAGTTTTCTTCCTCTGTGAAATGCTTATTTGTACTTTTTGTCCATTTGTCCATTTTTTTCTTTATTAATCTATAGTTCTTTATAAGTTCTGGATACTATTTCTTTTTATCAGTTATATGGATTGCAGATTTTTTTTCCAATTGGTCATTTGCCTTTAAATTTTGCCTGTAGTGTCTCTAGTTTCATGAAAATTTAAAATAATCAAGTAATCAATGTTTTTAAATTCTTCCTTTGTGAATTGTGCTTTCTTTTATGAATTTTGACCTGGTAGTGAGAGCATCTCTACTACCTAGGGAATTTTTAAATTTGCCTCTGCTAAGGGCACTATGCATTTTACTGGCCTGGGACCAGTTTGTATATTAACTTTGAGACTTGCGACCTATTCTGAGAGCTGGAGTGGGTGCTGACTTGGCACTGGTGCATAGCACCTGCCTGGGTTCTAGAGCCAATCCCTTTTTCCCTCTGGTCTCAAGCAGAAAGTTAGCCTCCCTGTCACTTCCCTGGGGAGTGGTCATGGTGTATTTAATTCCCATTCCTCCATGGCTTCTTGGTCATTGTAAGTAGCTTGGTTCCAGCTCCCATGTGCATAAGTCCCACAACTAATATTAAAGGCCCGGCCACCAGCTTCTTAGACCTATCTCAGGTCCTCTCACTGCTCACTTTGAGTTTTATCTTTATTTTCAGCACTGGGGCAGAGAGTGTGTGTGTGTGTGTGTGTGTGTGTGTGTGTGTGTGTGTAGTTATTGTGTTATAGTTTGTCCAAAATTTCTTTCTGTTGAAAGTGAGAAAGGAGGTTTCTATGGTAAATCAGACATACTGACCAAAGTTTTGGCTACTTTTATATATACCAACCACAAATCTAAATTCTCTTGTTTTAACTATTTTATATATTGGAGACAAATTTTAGTTCTTCGGTGTTTAACAACAGCTTGGCAGAAAAACCCTTATGGGCAATTCTCCATAACTCAAGGCTGGTTGCCTTGTTAGCTGGTGCTCTGTACTTCCCCATCTACTGTTTCAGTTGCCTGGCTTTCTCTTCTCATAAGAAAGCAGCAATAGAGATAAACTATGTCATCTGTAAAATCCCACCTTAGGATTTCTGAACAAGAGATCTTCTTTCTCATAATTCTTCAGAGCAATTTCTCTTTTAGGGAATAATTACTGTCTTTTTGCTGGAATAACATTTGATTTCCATCCAGTGCCAAAGTTGATCCTGGTAGGTGCCCAGCTTATTTCAAATATACCTTTAAATTATTAGATTACTTTTTCTTCTGTGCTTTAAAACTCTAGTTGAACATAGTATTCACAGTTTTGATGCTTTTATCTCAAGACTCAAGAGAAGTTTTGATTCATACGCTGTTAGGTGATAATAGTAATATTTCAGAAGCATCTCTTCACTTTTGAAATTATTATCAAGATAAAATCAAAAGATAATGCCTTTCCATAAACTATCCTCAGGAGCTATTGTAAGAAACAAAATTACTGTGCTAAATGAACCTTAAAATGCTTGATGTGTAATATTGGTCACAACACCACCCTTCCACTGGACATGGCTCTTTGGGTGGCTTCAATAATATAAAATTGCTCTGCATCATGGTGTTTTAGGAGATTTTGTTGCTGCATGATGCCTAGAGTTCTATGGCATCCAAGACAAGAGTAGTTTCACCCTTGTTCCCTAAATGGAGATTTCAACCAAAGCTCACATAAAAAGAAAATATATCTTTTTCTTGGTCTCAGATGTCACAAAACTCTCCCAAGTTTAGCCAGCTCCTAATTCAACACTGAAATCCCCCACATTGTGTGACAGAGGTGGGGAGCATTATTAGGAAAGTCAGAATAACTTCACCAGCCATATGACCTTCAGCGTTACCTCAGAGATGGTTCTGGGGAAGAATCTGTCATTTTATGATCTCTTAACCTCAAGTGACATTGCACCAGTAAATACCAATAGACCATGGCTTAGCACTTGGTTGCTCCCCCTTGTCCTCAGGTGACCTGGCAAATGTTCAGAATTATATTTATCCTATAAATATCCAGGGAAGAGGAGAAACAGTCTAAAACAAAAAGGGTAGGCTGTCATAACCAGAATGCAGTCTAAAGGGCTGGAAGAGTCTAAAGGGCTGCTTCTCAGATGATTCAAGAAGCTCTATGCTCAGGAGGGAATGCACAGTACCTTTTCAGTTCGGATCAAAGCCATTCTCTCAGGGTGGGAATCTATGGGTTTTTATGAGAGCATTTCATCATGAAATCATAAAATCTCTTTTCCAGTATTTCTTAATCTAATAATATAGTGACAAAGAGATAAGAGTGGGAAAAAATGTCAACACAGATGATAAAAAAAAAAAAAACAACAAAAAAAACTCCTAGACTTTAAACCCTGCTTCTTTAGGATTGTCAGGACTTAAAAGGGCCAATGAATAACACCTATGATAGGCAGGCTTCTAAGATGGGCCCCAAGATTTCCTGCCCCCGTGAGAAACATGTGCTATATAATCGCCGGGACAGTAAATACCATGGATAAGATTATATTATATGACACAGACAACCTTGGGAGATTACATCGTGGGCTTGACCTAATCACAAGCCCTTTAAAAAGCAGAGAGTTTTCTCTGGCTGCTCACGGGAGGGGTAGTCAGAGATTGAAAGCACAAAAAAGACATGACCCACCATTCTTGGCTGAAGATTGAGGAGGTCACACGGCAAGGAATGTGGGTGGCCTCTAGGAGCTGAAAGTAACCCTGGCCAACAGCCAGAAAGGAAATGGGAATCTATAACCTATAGTCCTATAACTATAAGGAACTGAATTCTGCCAAAAAAAGAGAATGAGCTTTTTTCTTTTCTAAAGCTTCCAGATGAGAACTCAGTATTGTTGACACTTTGATTTCAGCCTGAGATATTATGAGCAGAGAGCCTAGCCACACCATGCTAGACTTTTGATTTATAGGATTCTGGGCTAACAAATGTTGTTTTTAGCTGCTAAATTTGTAGTAATTTGTTATACAAGAATTAAAAAAAAAAAAAGCTAATGTAGATTCTGGTATCCAGAAGTGAAATGCTGCCAAAACAAATACATAAAAATGTGGAAGTGGCTTTGGAATTGGAAAGTGAGGAAAGCTGGAAGAATTTTGAGAAGCATGATTGAGAAAAGACTAGAATGCCTTGAACAGGCTGCTAGTAGAAATATGCATGTTGGAGATGTGGCTGGTGAGGGCTCAGAAGGAGAGAAGGAACATATTGTTGGAAACCGGAGTAAGGAGGATATGTAGTATTGGAAAGCCTAGGGAAATTCTGACCTGCAATTAGGTGAAAACACTCCTAAGTAAGGAACTTCGTACGCGATGAACTAAAAAGATTTCTAAAGTGTGTATACTTTCTAGGTGATCTCAATCCAATATAATTTTTATGACATTAATATGTTGACCAGTGCCAATTAATATCTCTGACCTGGACTCTCTCTTAAACGGCAAACTCACACATCCCCCTGCCTCAAATCGATATGCCCAAATCTAATCTTGTCTTACCCTCCAAACCTACTCTGGAGATAAGGGATTATTGCTGTCAGCATGGCATAAAGAATAGGCTGAGTGTGCTAACACAAAACCCTTTGTTAGAACCTCAAAAAGATCAAGAGATCAAAGTATTCAGTCACATAAAAGACACTTCCAAGAGATTGAGGGTGTTTCTTATAGATCTTCTCAAACTAGGGAGCCTTAAGGAAGTTTAAGGACAACTTTTTTTCTCA